ATGGGAAGATTTTTAGGATTCCACATAAACCGGAACTTAGGAAATTCGCATAAATCAGCATATATAATCAAGTGAATAAGATTCGACGTCCGCCAGGTCGGTATTCGCGCGTTTTCCAGCGATCACGGCGAAAATAATACGATGTTTTCCTGGACGATGCTAAGCAGGGAAATTGAATTATGCTGGTCCTCGTCGACCAGCAGCTGCGTCATGCCGGAAACTCTTCAACGAAAGCCTCGGCTTCCACACACGGTACTCGTACCTCGTTTTTGAGGTGACGAAAACGCGCGCAATAGTATAAGAGTACCAAAGAAGCACTCTAACATGAATTGGAATTCAGCGAAGTATTTTGCCGCTCAACAAGACAATGAGAGACAAACGAAAGCCTCGCTCCAATGGTCTCACATTACTTTACAATTACTTTCGTGGTTTCCACAAAACTTCCCCGCAGTTAGGCGTTTGATTTTTGTCATCGTCAGTTTTTTCCGTACACCTTCCAGCACATGCAGTATTAATTCTTTATTCCACTCAAACTTTTCCTGTTTTCTCAGCCCCTTCTTCACTCCAACCGTATTTCAAACTGACCTCATTCAGTAAGTCATAAATGCATGAAAGTTTCACGTACCACATTTTACTTAAATACAACATTTCGAGCCAAGCTTGGCCCATCTTCAGAATTAAAGCAACTTATGCATGGTGTAATTTTCATACAGGTCGAGATGATCAGCATAATTAATAATGAGGTGCTTGTCTTAGAGGTGCTTCAGGCATAGCTGATCTACAAGTAGAAGATGGAAGTGAGTCCTTCCGGAGGATTACCAGTTTCAATACCTCAACTGCACTATTTCCAGTGACGGCACTATCCAGCCAGAGTTAAATGAGCAGATTGTGTTACCCTAGAATACCTTTGGAAACCGGTTCAACATTTGGGCTGAGAAAATGAGTTGCTACTTTTTCCGCGAAAATCTGCCTGCACCTTGCCTCAGTCAGAAGAGTGTTGTTGTGCGGGTTGAGGACAGTTTCTATAACGAAGGAGCAAGAACAACGATTGAACTGCGTGCAATATCACTGGCTTCG